GTGCCCACCGCCTATCTTGAAACGCATATCCCTGCGATGAAAGGCATGCACGTGTTCTCTGGTGCCAGGCACTGTGCTGCTCTGTAGATGTCGGGCCATTGTCCTGAACGTAGGCGCAGCCACAACCGCACGGGCCCAACCAGACGTGTTCAGGTCTCATTCATTAGCTCCTTCTGTTTCACTGACCGCTGACGGTCTAACCTTTGGAACCTGCTGCAAGCTCCCTGTGCCTTGGAGTCTGTACTGTTCCTCCCTTACCCTCTTTCTCCATTGGGAAATTGCAGAATGGTGATTTATTGTCCCAGGCTTCTCGGGAGCTATAAATTCAGACCTCCGTATTTTATCCAGGCTTCCTCTAGAATGGATGGTATTTTCGCCTACCACGTGAGATGGTGGCCCTCCCTGGCCACTTTTGGAGATGTTAAGATCTAGCTGGATGTGAGTTGGTCTACATTTATTATCTTGGCGTTTCATTTCTCATGAAGATAGCCGGAGCAATCAGCTGGACCTTTTTTTTTTTTTGATATAAAGTGGGCACTCTAATGCGGAAGCCGTCGATTTAGGGAATATCTTTAGTACTTCCCTCTTCAGGAGAGGATGGAGAGAGGTGGTGTGCCTAGTGGAGTATTTATAGAGGTGTATGGGCGAAGTAAGCCAAGTTTAGAACAGTACAGCATCTTTGCTTATTTGCAGAGGAGGGCTTTGGGCCACACAGTGGTTGAGAGCGCACCTGCACTGCCTTCTGCTTGTCACTGCTAGGCAGTTTTGTGTTCTGAGAGCAGCTTTGAGAGAAACATGTTTGGATTATCATGTCGTTTGGTTAAGACAGTTGAGAGTTCCACAAGATCCAGCATTTGATCCATGAGCAGTCTGACCATCTTCTCTTTCCAATGATTCTGTCCATAGCTAGAGTTACATCAAGAGTATTGCATAGGGAGCAGACCCTTAACTACTCCCCCTCCCCCCACCATGTTCCTGATCTTTTGTTCACTTTGAAATGAAGCATCAGGAGCTATTAAATTAGACCTCTGCAAAGAGAACCCAGAATGGGTCGTCCGTGTGCCCCCTCCCCACCCCCCTCCGGCATCGTTGGCAGGATGATGGCTCACCAGCCTTGGTATCTTGTCTGCTATGAACAGAAGGTATGGAGAGTGCTGGCTTGTGTGCTACTTGAACTTGGAAACTGAGCTATATTAAGTGTTTGTGTAAAGCAGTCAGAGCAGGTCGGGAGAACATGCTGGATTGTGGTGGGACGGTAGTGGTATAAAGCTTTTATAACAAGCATCCATTTGACACCACCCTGGCTGTGATCTGGGATGTGTTTTGTCTTTTTCTTTCAAGCATGGCTTTTTGACTAGTCAACATGTTTACCCATGGCATATGAAAGCAGAGTAACCATGGTGCGTTGTGTCCCTTAACAATGCCACTAGAGGTCTGATGGTACCCTGATGACATAAACACATATGAAGCATTGTTAGAGCAAATTAAACAGACATTTTTTGGCAAACTCCAGAACATTCATTTTGAGCCAAATTGTCACAATACAAAATAAATTAATTACATGTTTCCAGCTCTTTATTGAGATGAGAGTAGAAAGAGGAAAGGGGAAGTTTGGGCCTATCCACATCAGCTTTGTTGTTACTGGGATTTTCCTCAGTTAAGTTATAAAGTTCTCAGTAACCAGGAATCCAGACCAGTCAAGGAAATACTGGGAATTGATAATGTTTATCACTGATTTATTGAGCATCATCTGAGTGACTGGCATTGTAAAGAGTTTGGAAGAAACAGAATTGTGAACACCCACCCCCCCCACCCCCACCCAGCAAATAATTCAGAGCTGTAAGAAGGGTGAAGTCTGATTGTGGGGTGAAGGCAGGTCAGGGTGTCTGTATTACCTACATATAGCTTGGTCCTTTGCCAGTAGATAATACGTATTGTCTGTAATGACTGTTTTGAGTCCTTATTTCAATATCACAAATATTTACTATTCTGACTTTGGAGTTTGTGCACAGAGAGAATACCTACTTGGTTTCTGTAAAAAACAATCTTGAAAGATTAAATATAGCATCTGCTTAAGCTACTGAATTAAAATAATGTAGTTTTGATCTGTTGTTTTTTTTACTTTTTACTCTTTTAGGCTTTTTTTATTTTTGGTTTTTCGAGACAGGGTTTCTCTGTGTAGCCTGTCCTGGCACTCGCTCTGGAGGCCAGGCTGGCCTCGAACTCACAGAGATCCGCCTGCCTCTGCCTCCCCATGTGCTGGGATTAAAGGCTTGTGCCACCAATGCCCGGACTATTTTAGGCTCTTTTGGGAGCCCACCACACAGCTCCCAAATGAATCACACATGGAGAGACTTATTCTTTCTAATGAATGCCCAGCCTTAGCTTGGCTTGTTTCTTGCTTTTTTTTTTTTTTTTTTTTTTCTTTTTCTTTTTTTTTTTTGGTTTTGGTTTTGCAAGACAGGGTCTCTCTGTGTAGCTTTGGAGCCTATTCTGGCACTCACTCTGGAGACCAGGCTGGCCTCGAACTCACAGAGATCCACCTGCCTCTGCCTCCCTAGTGCTGGGATTAAAGGCTTGCGCCACCAACGCCCGGCTTGCCAGCTTTTCTTAAATTATCCTATCTACCTTTTCCCTCTGGCCTTTTATCTTTTCTTCTGTATATCTTACTTTCACTCTTATTCCGTGCTGGCTGGCCCCTAGTGTCCTCCTCAGTCTCTTACTCTGTCCCTTCAGATTTCTCCTATTTATCCTCTCTGCCTGCCAGCCCCACTTATCCTTTCTCCTACCTTGCCATTGGCTGTTCAGCTCTTTATTAGACCATCAGATGTTTTAGACAGTAACACAGCTTCACAGAATTAAACAAATGCAGCATAAACAAAAGCAACACATCTTTACATCATTAAACAAATGTTCCAGAGCATAAACAAATGTAACACACCTTAAAATAATATTCTACAACAGTAGTTCTTTGGCTTTTCCAATCCCAAGAGGCTCAGGCAGATGCTCTGCCATGCACTTAAATAGTTCTCCAAGATCCCCTCCCCTCCTTAGAGACAGGTTCCTGCTGCACCTAGTCCACTTTCTTCAATTGACAACCTCTGCACTTGTTGCTCCCCAGCCTTCACCCAAACTCTGCCCACACAAGTGCTGAGATTAAAGGCGTGTACCACCACCACTTGGCCTCAGTTTCCCTCTTGTCACACTTGAATTTAGTTAAGATTTGGCTATACTAGTTTCCTGGTAGAGATGTTTGTAGGTTTTCAGACCAAGAGTGTAGAAAAAAACCAACAGGTTGTTTAATGTTCCTTAATTTCTGGAACCAACAAATCTTACACTTATTCAAGATGTTAGAGCTTGTGAGCACAACTTCAATCAGGTGAATCTGTGAGTTCGAGGCCAGCCAGGGTGACATAGTGAAATCTTGTCTCAAAAAACAAAAATAAATAAAAGAAGTGTTCCTCATCCTGCATGCCTTTCAGTCCTCTTTGCTGCTCCCTGGAGTCCCATGGGATTGGTTAACGCATCCTGCTCTCTCTTCCTTCCCTCCCTCCCATCGTCTCTTCCTCTCAGCTGCTGCCGTTTCTGTTTCCACATGAAATCAGACTATCAGAGTCTTTTGATGTTGTTGTTGAATAGTCATGATGACTGGGTCCCCATTCCTCATTCCTCATTTTAAGGATGAACAAAGTCTTTCTCCAGAATTAAAAATAAATAAACCATTGCATTTGTGTGTGTGTGTGTGTGTGTGTGTGTGTGTGTGTGTGTGTACATGATCGTGCCTGTGCCCATGGAAGTCAAAGGACAAATTGTAGGAGTCAGTTCTCTTTCACCACATGGATCCAAGAATTTAACTCGGGACATCAGGCTTGGCCGCAAGTGATTGATTATCTGCTGCTCCACTTTGCTGGCCGTAGACACTAACTTTTAGCTTGGCAAACCTTGTTGATGTATGTTAAATCATTACGTGGATGGAATTGAGTGCCTTTGGATAGAGTAAAATGATTTTCACTTTCCCAAGATCAGTCTTTAATGATTAATAGCTTTTACTATGACTGGATGAAAACACGAGTTCTGCTTACTTGTGCCCTTTCAAGAAATACTGTGAGTCAGATGGTGGTGGTGGTGGTGCACACCTTTAATCCAGCACTTCAGAGGCAAAGGCAGGGGAATATCTATGAGTTTAAGGTCAGCCTGGTGTATAGCATGAGTGCCAACGGCCGATCTGCTGTGTAAGTAGTCCTAAAAAGTAAAGCAAATGGAGAGTAGCCCAAGGTCCCATGAGCCTGAGCTATGACCACAGTTTCCCACAGAGGGCTCCCTTTGTCTGCTTTCTGTCTTGGAGCCAGGCCCCTGGCCCTGGGTAGACACTTTTCCTGCTGCAGTGGCCTGCTCTAAGGGCTTAATGTAAATTGGGACATGTGTCATTAAGAGGACATGCCAGATGGCTGAGGGTTCAGCTGCCTGCCAGGATGAGTGAGTGGAGCCAGAAAATGAAAGTGGGGGGAAGGGATGGGAATGGTACAGCTAATATGTTATTTTTGAATCACTCTGTAGAATTGTGGACATTGGTCAGCTTCCTCCCTATCCCTGAAGTATTATTTTTCTCTCATCTTGACCCTCCTCCCTA